TTTTTCCACCCCTTCCATATGAACCTTTAATTTGTCGGATTCAAATTTATATTTCTCATTATCTTTAAAGGGGGTTAATTTCTCTCGCACTAAATTAATTTCTTTATCCAAATATGCTAACTTTTTCTTTTTGCGTATAATGAGAAACTTTAGAAGGTCAATGCCAGTGTTATTAAAAAATTGGTACCACTCAAAATGGCTACTGGGATCCTCCGAATCTGGGCGTACGTCCCACCCGGAGTGATCTGGGAACCATCTGTTCTTTAATATACTTTTCCAAGAAAGATACATCCCATAAGGTTTTAATTTCGGCAGTAGTTAGATTTTTTAGATGTACAAAGAGTCCCTTTAAGTCATCACTGTCATCATTATCTAATGTATTATATAAATCCTGTATAATAATAATAATTAGTACAGTGTCAGTGATTTTTTGTTAGCACTGATCACTGTATTAGTGTCATTGGGATGTCAGTGACAGTTAGTCAGTTCCCCCCAGTGTCAGAATACACAGTCCCGCTATAAGTCGCTGATCACCACCATTCAGTGGCGTCCCTAGGTGGGTGCGGGGGTGCGAGCCGCACTGGGTGACACCCAGGGGTATATCTGCCCCCAGGCAGAAGGGACAAGGGACCAGGGCTTGGCAGGTCAGGAGAGCTTGGCATGGCTCAGGCGGGGAGGCAGGGTTTAGGCAGGGGGGCGGGCTCAGCAAGTCTTGAGCAGGGAAGTTGGGCTCGTCTTATGCCATCCAGAATTAACGGTAAACCAGCTGTCTTACCCTCTCTGTGCCTTCCCGGAGCGCTAATTCCCTGCTGCACCCACTGGCTTTGTTAAGATCTGGCAAGAAGCCCAGGTTCGGACTGACCATCGCAGCTATGCTCCCGCCCACCTGGCCTCTCTGCAGCCAGCCGGATGTCTATTCCATTCACTGCATAGGGCTAGAGGGTGGAGCCTAGAGGTCAGCTGACCATGAAGAGGGGGTGCAGGAGAGGAGACCATCCCTGTATGTCAAGTATCAGTGCAGCCACAGACACAATCCAGCCCTTCTTCCCACTCAACAGTAGAGCTGCAGAGGAAGGTACTGTCTCCTGTATGTGAGTGTGACCCAGCCATCACATGTGCAATGTCAGTGGTGACATGATGATCCCACAGCCTGCTCTTCTAGTACATGCTGGCACTGCTGATCTGTCAGTGTTGGTGGTGGTGTCGGATCGTTCAGTGACAGGAACTGATGACATCCTCTGGGCAATGTATCTGTCATTGCGGGATCGCTCAGTTCGGTGTCCTCTGTGTGTGGGCTGCTAGCTGTCACAGCATTTTATCTCTAGTCTAGCATTTTATCTTTTTATGGTGCTAGTGGCATCTTATGGCATTTATTTTTGCAAATTAAAATAAATGTATCAGTTTCATGTTTTGTTGTTTTAAATATTTTCTCCGGTTTTTAAAAAATGTTAAACTTTTTTTTTTTTTTGGGTGTGCAAGTAGCTGGTCTTGCCTAGGGTGCAAAATAGTCTAGTCTAGTCCAGCATTGCCTGTAGTTATACTTTAAGGTTCTGGAAGCTGTAGGTCAACAATGAGCTGAGATCATTTAGGGCACTGCGCCAATGGCTGCTAGTCTCACAAGACTTGGCTGTGAAATTTGATGATGTCTATCCTGTGCTGCTCTCCAAAGGACCTGTTGGATAGAAAGCTGTATCTGAGATCCTGCAGTGCAAGGACCCCCCTGCTTCAGCTTCTGATTCATTCATCTGTGCTCCTCCACCTTTCTGCTTCTTGGATATGACCCTACCTCCCATCAGATCTTCAGTTATCAGGAGTTTGGCTGTGACAGGAAGCAAAGTCTGCTCTTCTACCAAGAGAGCCACATTCATACAGAGACACAGTGCAGAACAATGCACGGCATGTCAGTAATTGGGAATAGGTCAGCTATGAGGAGCCAACAGGAAATATTGGTAAATAAGCATTTGCTCTCCATTTGCTTTTTTGAGGCACAGCTTCCAAAGTCCTCCCTAAAGAGGAACACACTCTCAGAAAAAATCAGTTCACCTACTGTTGCATTTTAGCATGACTTTCGCACTTGCATTAACATTAGAGATGAGCGAATTATTCAAAAATTCGATTCGGCTGATTCGGCGAATTCGCGGAATAAATTCGATTTGAGTCGAATATATTCGCTGCGAATTTAACTTATGAAAAGGGTGTTTCTAGGCTTCAGAGAGCCTTTATATTAGTGCAGAACACTGTACCTTTAATTTAAATGCCCTTGGAGTCTGCTGGGGAAGAGAAATAATACTGTCAGTCAGTATGACATGCAGATGAGTGCTGTCGATCTTAGAATCACCGCACACTTCACTCATTTGGGCAGTCACGGGGCCAAAACCAGAGTGTGGAGCCACAGTGTGGCGTGGAGGCAGCAGCAATGGGAGGCCATACAGCACCCTATGAAAAAATGGAACGCACCAGCAGTGTGAGGAGACCTGAAAGTGGCACATGGCAGAGTGTGGCGATGGAGACAGCAGCAATGGGAGGCCGTACAGGGACCCATGACACACTCTGGACCTGGCAGCAGCATGAGGAGGCGGTACAGGGGCCCATGACAGATTACGGGCCTGGCAGCAGCATGAGGAGTCGGTACGGGGGCCCATGGCAGATTACGGGCCTGGCAGCAGCAATGGGAGGCCCGTAATCTGCCAGCACCCTATGACAAAATGGAACCCACCAGCAGTGTGAGGAGACCTGAAAGTGGCACATGGCAGAGTGTGGCGATGGAGACAGCAGCAATGGGAGGCCGTACAGGGACCCATGACACACTCTGGACCTGGCAGCAGCATGAGGAGGCGGTACAGGGGCCCATGACAGATTACGGGCCTGGCAGCAGCATGAGGAGTCGGTACGGGGGCCCATGGCAGATTACGGGCCTGGCAGCAGCAATGGGAGGCCGTACAGGGACCCATGACACACTCTGGACCTGGCAGCAGCATGAGGAGGTGGTACAGGGGCCCATGACAGATTACGGGCCTGGCAGCAGCATGAGGAGTCGGTACGGGGGCCCATGGCAGATTACGGGCCTGGCAGCAGCAATGGGAGGCCATACAGCACCCTATGACAAAATGGAACCCACCAGCAGTGTGAGGAGACCTGAAAGTGGCACATGGCAGAGTGTGGCGATGGAGACAGCAGCAATGGGAGGCCGTACAGGGACCCATGACACACTCTGGACCTGGCAGCAGCAAGAGGAGGCGGTACAGGGGCCCATGGCAGAGTGGCGAAGCGTAAGCAGCTTAAATTGAAGGCCATACAGAGGCCTATGTTAAAAATAATAACATGTTTGGGGCATGATTCATGGCGGATTTAGTCAGTTGTGTCAGGAACTGGTGGTTTGAAATCCAGACTAATCCACGCCTGATTCATTTTCACAAACGTGAGTCTCTCCACACTTTGGGGTGGACAGTCGTGTCCTCCGCGGAGTTACAATACCTCCTGCCGCATTAAACACGCGCTCCGATGCCACGCTACTGGCCGGGCATAACAGCCTTTCAAGGGCAAATTCAGCTAGTTGGGGCCAAAGGTCAAGTTTCGTTGCCCAGTAGTCAAGGGGATTGTCTACCTCGGTTGGCAGGGTGCTGTCCAAGTAGGCCCAAGCCTGTTGTTTGAGGTCCTGCTCCAGGTCCACCTGATGCTGCTGCGGCTGGTTAGTAGTTTCCTCACTGCGCTGGTGAAGAAAGCTACTCATCATCGACTGCAGACTGAGGCAGCCGCTGCTGGTGGAGCTGCCACTGCTCCTACCACCCCACCCCTCCCCTGCTGCCATGGCAGCGGAACGCGAGCGCACAGGGCCCACAGTGTCTGAGGATGGACGTTGGCGCAGAAGGCAGAGACCAACTGACTACATAGGTGGTTTTTATAGTACGTTATTTTGGCCTCCCTCTCAGCAGGTGTGAAAAAGGCCACCATTTTTGAACGGTAGCGAGGGTCCAACAAGGTGGACAGCCAAAAGTCATCCCTCTGTCTGATGGTTATTATTCGGCTGTCGCTACGCAAGCAACCGAGCATGCTATGGGCCATTTGTGCCAAGGAATGCGAGGGACTCCCTGCCTCCATCTCCACAGCATACTGCCACGGTGCGTCTGGGTCCTCTGTCTCCTCCTCCTCCTCTACCAGATGCTCCTGCTCCTCCACTCCTGTCCGCTGAGTGGAAAAACCACCCATTTCACTCAATAATTCCTGAGCACCAATGTCCTCCTCTACCTCCTCCTCTTCTTCCTGTCCTGCCCCCACAGGGGTCATGTGGCGTTGAGATCTGTGCGCCACGTCTACCGCACCCTGACCAGCCATTGTTAACAGCATTTGTTCCAGGACGTGCAACAGAGGAATGACGTCGTTCATCCCATAGTCCTGCCGACTCACGAATAGCGTGGCCTCCTCAAAGGGCCTGAGCAAGCGGCAGGTGTCACGCATGAGCTGCCAATGGCTGACATCGAAGTTACACAGGGGAGTACCTTTATCCGCTTGTAACATCAGGAAATCGGTGATGGCCTTTCGCTGTTCGTAAAGGCGGTCTAACATATGTAGGGTTGAATTCCACCTTGTTGCAACGTCACAGCATGAGGAGTCAGTACGGGGGCCCATGGCAGATTACGGGCCTGGCAGCAGCAATGGGAGGCCCGTAATCTGCCAGCACCCTATGACAAAATGGAACCCACCAGCAGTGTGAGGAGACCTGAAAGTGGCACATGGCAGAGTGTGGCGATGGAGACAGCAGCAATGGGAGGCCGTACAGGGACCCATGACACACTCTGGACCTGGCAGCAGCATGAGGAGGCGGTACAGGGGCCCATGACAGATTACGGGCCTGGCAGCAGCATGAGGAGTCGGTACGGGGGCCCATGGCAGATTACGGGCCTGGCAGCAGCAATGGGAGGCCGTACAGGGACCCATGACACACTCTGGACCTGGCAGCAGCATGAGGAGGCGGTACAGGGGCCCATGACAGATTACGGGCCTGGCAGCAGCATGAGGAGTCGGTACGGGGGCCCATGGCAGATTACGGGCCTGGCAGCAGCAATGGGAGGCCCGTAATCTGCCAGCACCCTATGACAAATTGGAACCCACCAGCAGTGTGAGGAGACCTGAAAGTGGCACATGGCAGAGTGTGGCGATGGAGACAGCAGCAATGGGAGGCCGTACAGGGACCCATGACACACTCTGGACCTGGCAGCAGCATGAGGAGGCGGTACAGGGGCCCATGACAGATTACGGGCCTGGCAGCAGCATGAGGAGTCGGTACGGGGGCCCATGGCAGATTACGGGCCTGGCAGCAGCAATGGGGGCCCGTAATCTGCCAGCACCCTATGACAAAATGGAACCCACCAGCAGTGTGAGGAGACCTGAAAGTGGCACATGGCAGAGTGTGGCGATGGAGACAGCAGCAATGGGAGGCCGTACAGGGACCCATGACACACTCTGGACCTGGCAGCAGCATGAGGAGGCGGTACAGGGGCCCATGACAGATTACGGGCCTGGCAGCAGCATGAGGAGTCGGTACGGGGGCCCATGGCAGATTACAGGCCTGGCAGATGATGACGAGGCTGCCAAGTGCGATCAGCCTCATCATCATCAATTAGGGTATCCGCCTCACTACTAGCCCCCTCGGCTGCGTGTGGGTCAGGAGACAGACCTGTCTCTAGACCGGCTACCGAGCCACTCTCCTCGCCACTACTTCTTCGCCTGGCTGCTGAAGAGGCGGATGTCTCCCCCCGTTCCTGACCGCCCTCTGTTAGCTCTTCCTCACTGTACAGTGGGGCTGAGCCCACAGCGTGCGATACTTCGCTTGGTGAGGGAACACCAAAGGACAGGGGCAGGTAGAGGACACGTGATTTCAGTGGGCTTGCTCCCGGGCCATGCCAACTAACGGTTGTGTCTGACGTACCCACCGACCGTTGGCTGTAGGTGTCAGAGGTGACCTGGGAAGAGGAAGACGACCGAGCCAACCAATCGATGACGGCAGGGTTGTCGGTGGACACACGACCGCTGGATGACACCGGGAGCACTGGCCTCTGGCTGCGACTAGTGCTGCCTCGACCCCTTCCTCTGCTGCCACGTCTGCTCGCTCCTGAAACATTGCCTCCTCTGCCACTCCTCTGCGTGTTGTCTGACATACTCTTTAATTCAACGATTCTGTGTCCCTGAGTAACGATTCTGTGTCCCTGAGTAACAATTCTGTGTCCCTGAGTAACGATTCTGTGTCCCTGAGTAACAATTCTGTGTCCCTGAGTAACAATTCTGTGTCTGTCCCTGAGTAACGATTCTGTGTCCCTCAGTAACGATTCTGTGTCCCTAAGTAACGATTCTGTGGCCCTAAAGTCTCTCTGGCCCTAACTCTGTCCCTAATACAGACAGGTCTGTCTCTCTTGAATGACCGGAGGCTAATGGAGAATTGTAAGATGGCCGCAATTTATAGCTCCACCATTACACAGTGCTGGCTGGCTGGCTGCTGAATGGCTAATGCGATCACATGTCATGAATGAATGCATTATGGGTCAGCGCGCCTTGTCTGCGCGCCTTCCCAGAGATCCCCGCTCCGTCGCCACACATGTCGCCGCCATTTTTGGGAAAATTCGATTCGTGCATCCGAAGTTTGCTAATTTTCGGATTCGGCGCGAATCAAATTTTTCCTGATCTTCGAAACGAATTCCACTTCGCCATGTTCGATTCGCTCATCTCTAATTAACATCACACCAATGGCAGCATTTTAAACTAATCTCATGACCACAAACTTGCCATTTTTTATGTGGTTGCACCTATATTTAAAAAAAGAAAGGTGAAAAGTTATACCAAACATACCAACAGAAATGGGTAAATTAGACTGAATGAGCTCAGCGCACAGTTGGATAATGGCTAATCTGTCAATATGCCTGGAGAGCCTTTATCAAAATGATTAAAGAGGGGGAAGGGATGGGGAAAAGGCTGATTTTGCATGCTTATTTTCCAAAAAACAATCCATATGTGTTCCCTACTGAATTGGCCCGTAATTTATTTTCATTAAAATGTTTCTTACTGTGTTTTTCTGCTCCTTGTAACATCCTCTCTGAGCTCTCAACCCTCTCCTGTTCCCCCTCACTTCTGTTTGTTTGGAACAAGGAGTGTATGTTAGTTGTGGTGATGTGCACTGCTCAATGCACACTACAAATCCCATAGTCCACAGTTTATAGTCATAGTTCATCCCAAGAGCTAGTAAGAGAGGGCAGCGGCATTCCTACATACAGGACCATGGAGAGGGAACCTACCACCCAGGTCAGATCACAGCTGCAACAAAAAAAAAAGGTGTTTGGGGGGGGAGATTGACATCAGGTTGAGTTAAAAACACATACTTGAATAGAACTTTTCTTTTTAAACTAGAGTTTAATGTGATTTATTTTTTTTTTTAAATAACAAACTTTTCATACTGGCCTGCTCTGTGCAATGGTTCGGCACAGAGAAGTCCCCGTCCTCCTCTTCTCGGGTCCCCTGCTGGCACACCTGGCTCTAGTTGGTATTGGGGCACTTGTACCTGCTCGCTCCCGAACCCTGCTTTGTTTGTCCATAAGACACTCAGAGCTGGACTTGGCCCCCCTGCTCCCTCCTCACTGTCTCTGACTGACAGCAGCGGGAGCCAATGGCTCCTGCTGATGCATCTGAGCCAATGAGGAGTGAGAGAACTGAGAAAACCTTGACTCTCCTGCACATCGCTGGATCAAGTTCAGGCTCAGATATGTATTTAGGGAAGACTGACAGATGTAGCTGCTTTCAGAAGGTTTTTTTTTTTTAACCTTACTGCATAGAATGCAGTGAGGTAAGAAACCTTCTGCCTTTAAAACCACTTTAATGTCACTTTAAGACTCTCTCTGCATTGGTGCATTGATGACAATGCATGGTATAATATAACAGAGAGTGATACAAACTCTACCCACTGGAGAGCTTGCCATGGCAAACAGCAGAAAGACACCCAACCATCACCCTTCGACATGAAACATTTGTATGATATGTAATATGGACAAAATCAGTCAATCACCGAGAAACTGCATTATTAAAGGACTACTTCTATGTAATATTAATCAACAATTAATCATTTTTAAAACGTACATAGCACAAACAGTTACCTATTAAAATAAAATATATAAATAAAAGGGAGCACATTATTCATCTGAGAAACAATACATAAAAATATAATAAGGTGTTAAAAAACACAGAACGTAATAATCTAAAATGACCACAAGATGGCAGCAAATAATGTGAAAAAATGTATCTATCACTGTATCAGCCTTTGGAGGACACCTGTTGGGGAGAGTGTGTTCTGTATTTTATACATCACACCTAAAAATGCAAATGTGAAAAAGATCAATCCAAAATCAGCTGCCTTCTGCTCTGAGGAATGGATAACTTAATAATAGATAGAAGATAAGGAGTTAAAATCTCTATGAGCTACTTCCTTGTTTAGATAAAAGGCTGTGCACTATAATAAAGCATTGTGGATGAAGAGGTGGGTGTGTATTGTGACCACGTCAACTAGTAACATCTCTCAAAATATGGTGTTGGCAACTTAAAGGCGCTCACCAAACTTCTAACATCTGAGCTATAGTTGTCAACATTTCAAATAAGTTATTTTTTTTCATTTTTCATTGTTTCTGTATTTCCAGAAAGCCATTGTAGGCAGAGTATGTACTTTAATTAGGGGTAAGAGCATTCATGTAAAATTGGTATAGTATATCATTAACATATGAATTTATTTGTTGCAGCCATGTGTATAGCGCCTGCAAATCATGCAGCGCTCCACATGCTGTATGTAACATTTAATTTTTAAAATAATGAAATGGACAAATAGAATTGCATACCAGTGTGATCCAAACAAACTATTTAAGGTTAAAGGAAACATGAAGATCAGCTTTAAAGTGGTTGTAAACCTCAGACATTAAATATGAACAAAGCATAACCCTCTATAGTGCATACGTGTCTCAATCCAGAGCACTAAATGCCATTTCTGTCTGCTGCATCGTTCCTTTGCTATCAGCATGAGTCACTTCTGACAAGTTTTCCTGACACCGAAGGAAAAATAGTGACAGGGGAGGGACCTTCAGCAGATTGACAGCCTTGACTCTGTTCATGTGTGCTGTGTGAAGAGGGGTGACCCTTCCCTCCAATCAGCTCTCACAGTGCTCCTTACTGATGAAACTTCAGTTCTCCGCCCCCTGCTTTTCAGAGCTGTGAGATCCTGTTTATATTCAGCATTTTAAATTGATGTAAAAAAGAGAATACTGCAGATAAATAGGTACAACGATGTAGGAGGATTTGTTTCCTCTCTGTGTATCACCTGAGGCCAGGCACTTCCCTGGGTGTTTCTAAGGGTTTACAACTACTTTAAGGTGACAATATACTATACCATTTGATTGTATAATCTCCTTTAGACCTACCATCAACCATGTTGTACAAGGGTCTACCTGATTTAATATACATTACATGGATTTGATAGGTTTGTCCTCATATTACATCGTTTTGGTAAACCTAATGGAGGTCATACACGTAATGATCTGATCGAATGATTCTTCACAGAATCAGAGAATATTATTGAATCTATGGGTTTTTTTAACAAAAGCTGGAGAGTGCAAAATGAGGCTCACTTCTGCATAGAAACCAAAGCTTAATTGTACAAGCTGAGGTTAGAAGCTGATTGGTTTCTATCAGGGTGGATAAAAATTGATGATTTTTTTTCTTAAATAAAAAAAATTGGATTTTATTGGATTGGATCTAAATATAGTTTTCTATTTCAGATATATTAATAATTTAGTTTATTCAGCATGAAATGGAGCTTAGTTATGTAGCATGAGGCTGTATATTCTGCACTATTTTCCTTTTTTGGTAAACTCATTCAATGAATCCAAGCTCTGCAAGCTGAAATAACATGCACTGCATTGATGCATTTACACAATTTCACAGTAACCTTAAAAAAACCATGAAATAAAAGAATTGAGTAGTTCTCCAGCTATGTGTGATTAACCTATTAACCTAAAATCAGCTCTGATATAGCTGTTTTACTAACCTGCCAGTTTATTATTCTACAGAGGAAACCTTCATTTGGTTTGCAAATATTAAAGATTCTAAACTACCAGCAAGAATGAGTCGGATTCCTTACATTTAAAGAACTCCTGTCATTTTAGATCCATCATGGCAGTGCTTGTTAGCGAGCATCCACTCACCTGCTGCTGCCACGTCCCTCACCTTGTTGTGTCACTGCCGCATCACCAGCCGTCCCATTAAAGTGAATGGGACTGTCGGTGAGTCAACAGTGGGTCAGACGAGGAGCCGCTGCGGGACAGAGATTACAGGTGATCTTTAAAAATGATGATATGATTTAAATTGAGCCTTTTCACTAGTGATATAAATCATGATTTAAATTGTGATTTAAATCAACTTGATTTAAATCAAATCCACCAGGGTTTCTATGCAGAAGTGAGTCTGGTTTTGCACTCTCTAGCTTTAGTAAATAAACCCATATGAGTCATCAAAAGGACACAGAAGGGTT